ACCCCAGAGAACAGGATGAACATTCAAAATGACCTTAATAGATTAGAAGAGAGAAGGACAGGCCAGCTCCATCGGGCCTAGCCTGGAAAGAAGAAGGCCCTCCCTCCATCCACCATCAACTGGAGGGAGAGAAAGCAGAATGCGTGCTGTCTTAATCTTATTATGTTTATTTCAATATTGTATTTATTTTACATTTGTAAGCCGCCTTGATTGCTTAGGCAAAAGGCGGGATATAAGAAATAAATTATTATTATATCATTATTATTATTATAGAAAGCTGGGCCAAAGCTGACAAAATGAATTCCAACACGGAGACATGTAAGGTACTGCATTTAGGGCAAAAATATGAAATGCATAGATATAAGATACATTTGGCTTAACGAGATTACGTGTGGACGGGATCTAGGAGTCCTAGTAGACCACAAGTTGAACATGAGTCAACAGTGTGATGTGGCAGCTAAAAAGGCCAATGCAATTTTAGGCTGCATCAATAGAAGTAAAGCGTCTAGATCAAGAGAAGTAATAGTGCCACTGTATTCTGCTTTGGTCAGGCCTCACCTGGAATACTGTGTCCAGTTCTGAGCACCATAATTCTAAAAGGATATTGAAAAACTGGAGCGTATCCAAAGAATGGTGACTAAAATGGTGAAGATTCTGGAAACCAAGCCCTATGAGGAACGACTTAGGGAGCTGGGGATGTTTAGCCTGGAGAAGAGAAGGTTGAGAAGTGATATGATAGCCGTGTTTAAATATTTGAAGGGATGTCATATTGAGGAGGGAACAAGCTTGTTTTCTGCTGCTCCAGAGACTAGGACCCGAAACAATGGATGCAAGCTGCAGGAAAAGAGATTCCACCTCAACATTAGGAGGAACTTCCTGACAGTAAGGGCGGTTCGACAGTGAAACACACTCCCTCGGAGAGTAGTAGAGTCTCCTTCCTTGGAGGTCTTTAAGCAGAGGCTGGATGGCCATGTCAGGCATGCTTTGATTATGAGTTCCTGCATGGCAGGGGGGTTGGACTGGATGGCCCTTGTTGTCTTTTCCAACTCTATGATTCTTTCCTGTTATGACAGAAAACTGGAGAGTTTGGAGATAAAAAAAAAAAACCCAAACACTTAAAAGTCCTAGATTCCCAGGTTTCCTAGAACCTTTGGTGAGCTGCCAGTAAAGTTTTACAGATAACATTTTATTTACTGTTCTGTTTCTGCTGAGCTGGTTCAGTTTAACAACCCTTTGTAGCAATCTGGGTTTTCGATTGATTCCTGGCATACACATACCTTCAACCTTAATAAAAACATAAATAAAGCCATGCTGTGTGCAGCTGAGTCCTCTAGTCACCTGGAGGTTATTGGTGTTATTCAAATGTTTGATATGGGTTTATATGGGATTCCTGAATTTCTTATTCCGAGCTATTATCTACGCTAATCAATAGGAGAGTGAAGGTTATCAGGCTTGACATCTGTTTGCACAGATTTGCACTTCCTATTGGGTCATGACCGATCTTTGCTTCAAGAGAGTCCCCTCACCAGGTTGTGTGTGCCTAAAGCTCTAGCTAGGAGTTATACTAGCAAATCAAAGCTAAGTTACTTCTTCAGTCTTTTTGCTTTTTATTTTTATTTCATTTATATTCATGCCATAACTATGAGAGGCAGTCATTCTTCTTCATTTTTTCATCCTTTTACAAACTGATCCACTATTCTTGTGGGCCCTTCATTATAATTCTTTGCTAGCATTTTCTGCCCACACCTTCTTTAAAGTGTACAACCTACATCGATAGCAGCTGTAATCCAATAGTTGTGGGTAATAATTTTTAAAAACCCACTCAGTAATTTAGCTGCCATGACATTCTGTTTCTCTATGACAGCATGTCACTAGTTACTGTTGGGAGTAATTCACTGTTGAATACAAGCCTGTGATGCAATTGAAGTCCTGGATATTGTAGCTGGGACCAACCAAAGAAATATATTGATGCCTGTGGCAAAATGAAATCTCCAGTCATTCCACATAGAGCAACCAATTGGACCACATATGAATCCTGTTTCAACACTGGCAATGGAATAGAATCTCCACAATATTTGTACAAGTAATTTGGTTTATTTGGCCAAAATCAGATGACATGAAACTAGTGAAACAACTCTCTTTTTCCATCTCCAGCCCTCTTTCTCTCTACCCCTCTTCACAAAGAGAACAGTGGAAAGCCTCAAAAGGAACTACAGCCAGCCCTCCACATTTGCTGGGGTTAGGGGCACAGGACTCCCATGAATGTGGAAAAACTACAAATAACAAAAACACTGTGCTTTTACCTGAGAGAACACCTCTCTAGGAATCTCTAGGGACCTTATCACACGGGGCCAAAAGCAGCAAGAATCCACTA